CTTTGGTCTCCATTCAACAATTTCATTTACAATATCTTTGGGGATCAGCTATGCGTGGGGCACACTTACGTGCCCTGAGGACACAAAATCAACAGTCAGTAACATCCCTGATCTTCATCCTCTAGGATTAGTGGTGAAGTGTGGGAATAGAGTCTAGAATGGTGAAAAGGGTATTTCTACTATAATTCCATTCAAATTTCAGAAAATTCATTCTGGTTGGGGTGAGAAGTGGGAAGATCATGGAGGGATATTTTACTGAAGAGACCAAGACTGAAATTTCAGCAGATTTACTTCTATCACAGGACAGTTTTAATCCCCACTATGATTTTGAGCCCAATAACATTCTTCTGGGATTTTCACTGCAGATCCTACCAAGGCTAATTTACTCTTTAGTCCCATGAAATGCCTTGCCTCATTCCTTCACAACCACTGTCCACCCCACAGCTCAACTCCAGTTTCTTCTTTCTCCAGAGATCAGCCCATATCCCCATTTCCTGCATAAACTTTCCCAGATCACTTCTACCCATATTTGTCTCTTTCTAATCATTATAATGTAATCAAATACCACCTCCTATTTTTTAATATAAATACCAGGGGTGTCTTATTTACCCACATGTTTTCCATCCCTCTTCATTCTTGCATACAAGAATGGTTTACAACCTCTCTTGCTACATTTCCATACCATTATGTTTCTAGGAGATCAAATAACAACTCAGTGAATGTGTATATATCACTGTGCAGGTCAACTCCACGTAGTTAAAAATGCAAAGTTACCAAGAGAATGTGTCCCTGAAACCTTGAGGAGTAATGAGTTTAATTGTGTCCAGTACCTGCCAACCACTGTGTGGGGCGGTCTGTGACTGCATGACTATAACATGTGGATATGAAAAAAAAATCAATAAAGTGAAAGTATATTAATTGATAAGCAATACTTTCTTATAAAATAGGCAAAAAGAAAGTGAAATGGAAATTGTTTTTAAACAATTCTCAGTTGTCCTTTTTTTCTTATATTGTCATAACCAAGACGACCAAGACAAACTATTTGTTTAAACTTCAGACTGAGGACTTCTGCTGTTTTACCTACAGTTGCTTAGGAATGAGAAGTAGGGGTGCTGGTCTGCAGCCCCTGCTCTACCTCCTAGAAAAAAAAAAAAAGAAGGAATGATGATAATGGTAAATTTTAAGTACTGCTACTGATGATGATGATAGAGTTTTTTGCTGTATTCCAGGTCCTATTCTAAATGCTATACATATATATATATATATATATGTGTATATATATATATACATACATATATATATACATATATATATATACACACATATATATACATATATATATACACACATATATATACACATATATATATACACATATATGTGTGTGTGTGTGTGTATATATTATATATATATATACACATCGCATCATGTGTATATATATTATATATGGACACAGTCCTTTCAACCATCTCATTACGACCACTGTACAGATGAGGAAAATTAGTTATAACAAGGTTGAATAAGTCACCCAAGGCCACAAGCCAACCATAAGGATGGGATGTAAACCCAGATATAAAGGTTCTGGAGCCCATGCCCCATTCTGCTACATCCCACTGTGTCTCCTTTTACCAAAAGTCTCCCAATTGTAGAAATATGAATCTGCTGTGTTCAATGTCATTGCAGAAGTGAGCAAGGGCTATTCCTTGAAGCATACATCTGACAATGTCAATGCGACTAAGTCTTTCAGTTAGTTACATGCTTGGTGAGGGTTTCACAACAAAATCTTAACGAAGATAGCCATAAATTCACACATGCCCTCAAGTAAATGTAAAAATCCACAGAAATGAGGAAGAGTAATTGTTATGCCAAAAATTCTTATGCTTGAATATGTTTTCATATAACATATTGAGTAAATAAAAAATAAATATTATTGCTTATGTGTTAGAGTTTGATACTTTTCAGTAATATAGACAAATTGCACTTGGCAGAAAAAGTTCTCAATATATTTACAAGTTATTCTAGAAAGAGATAAATAAATGTGTGCTTAAATCAATGAAAGTAAAGACAAAAAGTGTGTTTATGGATATCAGGATTTCTAAGGAGCTAAACATAATTGAATTCTGGCTATTTATTTATTGAAATGAAAATGGCCATTGCTAAGGGAAGTATTTGATTATGGAAGATAAAACTAAAGTTATCAATATAACACAGAGTTCATTATTACAAGAAGTGGAAGAATGTTATTAGACCCACAAATCAATAGAAAAATGGTAACATTTTGCTTCAGATAACAGAAGACTCAGTTTTTCTTTTTTTTTCTCAGTGTTTTACTGTTATTGCTGTTTTAGCCACTAATACAAAGGAAAAAACTCCCCCATGTTTCTCTTTATTTTCTTGGAGTATAACGTCTTTCTACATTTAATTTGTCCTTTCTTGGACTTTATAGTGCTTAGTCCTCCTCCCTCTCCTCCTTCCTCTCCTGACCCTGGAGCTCTGCAGATGACTATCTCTTAATAATTCTATTATCTACTTAAATCAAGAAGGAAAATTAGAGTTATTCCTCTAATTTTCCTTCTTGATTTAAGTAGATAATAGAATTAAAATCTTCCCACCCACATACTCTTCCCCAAATAATCAGTTTTCATAAAGCAACCCTTCAGTTATACTCGTTCTTTGTGTACCCTTCCAAGGGAGTTTATATCTCTAAGATTTTATATTCCCATCTTTTTCTCAAATTACAAATATACCATAGTATTTTAGACCTTTCTCTTTTCATTCACTATGCTTGGAGTTCTATGTCAGTTTACATTACATATTTTCAAGTTTTAATCTTTTTCTTTTCCACCAGTAGTATAATAATTTGAATTAAGTTATGTGATATTCTACATTATTTTATATAATATATAAAAATATATATTTGTTTATAACTAAGATAATTAAATTCCCATGAAGTCTCTGTTTTACATAATACAATGTTACATATATCATTCAAATGGGTTCCTTCCGGTCCTTTTCCAATTCTGCCCAGAGAAGAGAATTATTCTCTTGACATTTGAGTTCTAATCATCTTGGTGTTAAAATATTTTATCTCATACATTTTAACTCAGAAATATTTTCAATTTTCTTTTTTTAAGTTTCATAAACATGGATTATATTGTAAAGCAGTCTTTGAGATTTCCTTTTTGTCTCTACATTGATGCTTAGTCATAATACTTTCATATTCATTAAGGTATGACATCCCATCATGTGAATATATACCACAATATATTGAAAGCAATGGCTAAACCCACAATTACTTTTGCACCAACCTAATATTTATGAATGTTTCTGTTGGTGGGCCTAGAGTTTCACTTTTCTATTATGAACAAAGCTGTTATGAGAGTTCTTCTACATGTCTCCTGGTAAAACCTAAGAATTTATATAAAGTACTTGCCTGGGAGTAAAATAAGCGCTGATATTCAGGATATGAGAGTGCCCAAATTTAAGAGATACTGCCAAATTATTTTTCCAGAATGTTTGCACAAATTTACACATGAATCAGCAGTACAAAAATCTCCCATTGAGAAATACCTAATGTAGATGATGGGACGATGGATGCAGCAAACCACCACCATGGCACATGTATACATATGGAATGAACAAGCATGATCTGCACATGTACCCCAGAACTTAAAGAAGAAATAAACAAATCCAACCAAAAAAAAAAAAATCCCATTGTTCACACTCATGCTAAAACCTGGTATTGACAAATTTCTATTTTCCCCAATTTCTTTTGAGTATATATCTAAGAATGGATTTGCTGTAGTTGCATGTTTATCTTTAACGGGTATCACCAAACTCTCTTCCAAAGTGGCTACTTGAACTCATGTTTTCATCATCAATTATTTTAACATACACGAGTTTCTTTTATTTTATAAATATTTTTTGTAAATTCCTTTTCATGTAATAAGCAAAATATGTTCTTATACATGAGGAAAGTAATTTTTAAATAATCTGTTTTTATTATTTATGTTTCTCTGATACCTTCTGCTTCATTTATTTATTTATTTTTATATGTTTTGCTGTGATTGCTTTGTTGAATGGGCAGAACTTTTTATAAAGTAGGTTTTAAACTCTGAAAGAGTTTAAAGGAGTTTAAAGGGAGACTGAGATAGATGCAGATGAAAAACAATCAACTGTAATTTTCTGTAGGCATTTTATCAGTCACTTGATTTAAAGAGAAGAATCATAGCCTTTATTCTCTCATGGGAACTATAAACCCAGATTCCGGCATTCTGTGGGACAAGCAGACTAAGATGGGCCTGGGATTGTATGTTCTTTGTATGTTCACTTAGTTCCCTTATTTTAGGTACATAATCAGCTGTGTTTAATGTGGTGTATTTGCCAGTTTTCATTCTACTAGTAAAGAGATACTTGAAATTGGGAAATATACAAAAGAAGGAGGTTTAATGGACTCACAGTTCCACGTGGCTGGGGAGGCCTCACAATCATGGTGGAAGGTAAAGGGCATGAACCAAATGGTGGCAGACAAGAGAAGAGAGCTTGCACAGGGAAACTCCCTCTTATAAAACGATGGGATCGCGTGAGACTTACACACTCCCACGAAAACAGCATGGAAAAGACCCACCCCCATGATTCAATTACCTCTTGCTGGGCCTCTCCTACAACACAAGGGAATTTTAAGAGCTACAATTCAAGATGAGATTTGGGTGGGTACACTGCCAAACCCTATCATATGGTGAGTACAAAATCTTTTTGGTTATGGTTCTTTGGAGAGCAAATATCCCAGTTACTCTGGGTTGGAGGAAGGGTAGTAACCTCTATGCAGAAAACAGAGAAAAAAAAATAGGATTCTGATTTGTAAAAGCAGACTTTCAGCCTTTTGTCTTACTTGCTGATGGCCCAAGCTAACAACCCAAGTTTAAGGAATTCCAACAACTCCTACTTCTCAAGTCGTCTGGCTGGGTATTCATGGTTAATATGCTTGCTTCAGGACTTACCTTGCATTCTGAAGTAGGCTTCAGACATCTCCTGACAAGTAAATGAACACTTGTCCCTCTGTTTTCCACCTTTGAAGTGTGTGGATGTCATAGTCCTCCTGCACTGCTCAGAAGTGTAGGCTGATGTAAACTGATTCTTCATTTCTACTGCATTAATTTAGCTGCAGAAGGGAAAGTAGGTATAGTAATGTTTTTTATGCACCATGCTCCTTTTCCTGATCTTTCTAGTTGAACTTTTCAACAATGGGACTAAACATTTGTCTGGCTCCTCATTCCATGACTTTATGAAGGTTCCAACCTCACTTTGATCGTTTCTGAGCGAAATTCTAGCTTTTCCCTTCAGCTGCATTATTCAGAATTGTGAACTCCCAAACCTTTTGAATCCACTGACATTTTTGATGAATATAAGAAGAATCTTCTGAACATTGTATCTAATAAGCTCAAGAGCAGAAACCAAGTACCTCGTAAGAATCACTGTACCTATGTTACCTTAAATGCACAAAAAAAAATTCACCTGGGTTTTCTGTATTTTGCATTGTTAAAACAATTTAAAAAATTAAAGATAAAATGATGTTATTAAATACGATTTGAGTATGTATTTTAAACTATATTGAGCTCAGAAAAAATGACCTGTTTTGAATAACTAGTCAAGCGATATCCAGTTATGCAGGCACAAAACCAGGAGATGGGATTTGGTTTCTAGACAGCTTTCTTGTTTACTATTACAGTAAGACAGATAATCCATCTAGAATTCAACTTATTAATAATTTGAAAAAGTTTTATTCGATGGTATGAAAAACTTTCAGCTGAGGAAAAAACCCTAATAAGAACATTTAATGACTTCTTGTATGTTAGGAAGTATTTATCTTTAGCCATTTTGACTGAAGGAAAACAAAACCTTTTTCTTCAATTCAGAGGTCTCTGAACCACTCTTCTGGTCTCCTTTCTGTTGATTTATATACTTAAAATAACTTAGGACCACTAACCTGACCTCTCTTTCTCTGCCAACTTATTTATATTTAATATTTTAATCTACTTCTCTCTCTTTTCTAATTTCTTTTTTATCTTTGTCCTTATGTTTTCAGGCAAGTGACTTACAGGAATTTTACACAGTATTCCAGATATAGCCGTACTCAAACTATATAAACTAGGACTTCCTGCCTGTGTGCAACCTGACTCTCTTCAAGACAAACTGCATTGCAAAATTGTGTCTAGATTGTTCCTCCCCCTGGCTATCAGATGCCTATATTAAATGACGAGCAAGGAAGTTTGTTCTGCTAGTGGCTAGATTTGTTTTTCCTAATTATATAGTAGCATAATTTCAAGAAATTTTATTACAAATTACTGTAATTTGTGACATTAATAATCTTTACTAATAGATGGGAAATTAGGTTTATTAAGGACCTGTTTATTTGACTACGTCATTTGGCAACTACTACACTCAATGCTGTTAGTTCAACAACAAAAGGAATTCCTCAGAAAAACTGAGGGCCTATAGGTTGCCTGCCTGAGTAAGGAAGGAACAATCCAGGGATCTGCCTGTGCCTGACAAATGTGCAAATCGGCAAATGTTTTGAGACTATACAGTTTATTGTATAGGAGAATCATTATCTTAATACCATCAGAGTATTGTGTTTATGCTCCACACAGCACTGAAATGCAGTTTTTATTTAGCATTTATTAATTTATTTATTCAAACCATTTATGTACTTTCCTAATTGTAATTCTAGGAGAGCAGCTATATTATCTGCCTTATTGTTATATTCCCAATATCCCAGAAAGTAGATGTTCAATAAATGCTTTTCAAATGATTGGCAGAACAGAATGGTATAAGCAATGAAGAGTGCCTTAGTCTTTTCAGGCTGTTATATAAAACTACCATTCTCTGGGTGCCTTATAAACAACACAACTTTATAAGTAAATTTTATTTATGAGTCTGAGAAGTACAAGATCAAAATACCAACAGATTCAGTGTCTGATAAGGACACATTCCCTGGTTCATATTGGGGGTTTGGATGTAAATATATAAATATTCTTGGGACACAAACATTTTAGTCTGCAGGAAGAAGAGTGCATATTTATATCTATCTTAGGTTACCAAAACTGAAAATATACTTTCTAAAAATAATAGGAACTTAGCTAATTTACATTCCCACCAGTAGTTTACAGGGGCTGACTTTTCTCCATAATCTTACCTATATTTATCTTTTTTTTTTTGTAGCAGCCAATGCAACCATTGTGAAGTGACATCTCATTGTGGTTTTAATTTGCATTTCCCTGATAAACAGTGATGTTATTATTTTTGTTCATGTATCTGTTAGTCATTTGTATGGATTCTATTGAGAAACGTCTGTTCAGATCATTAGCCCATTTTCTAATGGGTTATTCGTTTTACTGCTATGTTGTTAAATTCCATGTATGTTTTATATATTAATCTCTTATCACATATATGATTTGTAAATATTTTATCCTAATCTTTGGATTGTCTCTTTACTCTGTTAATTGTTTCCTTTGCTACAAAACTTTGTTTTCTGGTTTTTGTTTTTGTTTTGAGACAGAGTCTCACTCTGTCATCCAGGCTGAAGTATGAGGACACAATCTCAGCTCACTGTAACCTCCACCTTCCAGGATCAAGGGATTCTCCTGCCTCAGCCTCCTGAGTAGCTAGGATTACAGATATGTGCCACCACATCTGGCTAATTTTTTGCATTTTTACTACAGATGGGGTTTCTCCATGTGGTCAAGCTGGTCTCAAACTCCTGACCTCAGGTAATCTGCCCACCTAGGCCTCCCAAATTGCTGGGACTACTCACCTGGCCACAAACTTTTTAGTCAGATGCAATCCCATTTGTCTATCTCTGCTTTTGTAGTCTGTGCTTCTGATGATATCCAAGAAATCACTGCCCAGACAAATGTTACAGAGCTTGCTCCTTGTGTTTTCTTCTAATAGTTTTACAGTTTCAGGTTTTAAATCTTTACTTCATTTTGAGTTGATTTTGTATATGATATGTCGTAGGGGTTCAATTTCACTACTTTGCATATCAATATCCAGTTCTCCCAGCACTACTGAAAAGATTGTCCTAACCCTATTGAGTCTTGACAGTTTTGTTGAAAATTAATTGACAATTTTTTGGGGTTTATTTCTTGGCTTTCTACGTTATTCTATTGGTCAACATGTCTGTTTTTATGCTAGTTCCATGCTTTTTTGACCACTATGGTTTTGTAAGGTATTTTGAAATCTGACAGTGTGATTGTTTGTTCTTGTTATTCTTTCCTACTTGGGGTTGTTCATGAACCTATACAGAGTCTTCTAGGGTATATAATAATTTAAAGTTTGTCATCCTAGCTTTACAGTATCCCTAACATGGTATTTCCTCAGAAATTGTAAGCATCTAAGTATTAACAGTTTCCTAAGTCCACTATAGTTTCAGCTTTTTTGATGAAAAAGTATCCTTGACTGACTAAAATTTATGATAATTCATCACTATGTAGGTTTTGTCCATTTTTCTTTTAAAAATTTTTCACAGCAAGCAAATCAATGTACAGGATTTTATATAACACAAAGGCATAAAATTACCAAAAAAAGTTATTTTTATAATGAACCAAAAATCTAATTCCAGCTTTCAAAGTGAGACATTTGTATATTTAAGTTCAGGAGGAATCACTTTTGATTTGTAATATGTTGTCAGTGGAGTGAAAAATAAAAACTTATTTTTTTTTATTCATGTTCTATATAGTCATGTGTTATATATTATATTTTCTTAAAATGTGGCTACGCCTAAAGTTATCACTCTTTCGGCCTCACTTCAGGTATTTAAAAAAAACTGCTCTGAGTTGCAAGTCTTTAAAACATACATATTTCATCAAGAGTATTTGGTAAGTCAGAGAAATGCTTACCCAAAGTAAACCCTTTGAAGGGGTGATAAAAATGACAGTGAGTGACAGCCTATGAACATATACAGAAAAATTAAAAAATATTACATATCATGCCAGTTGCTGTAGGAAAAACTAAAAAGAACTCAAATGAAAACCTATACATCTCATCATTTGTCTCCTAATCAGTAAAATCATTTTGAAGTGGGCTTGTTGTCTGGGGTGACACCCAAGGTTCTTTGTCTCACAGCCACAGACATCAAGAACGTAGACACACACAAAGGGTGAGGTATAGAGCAGAAATTCAATAGGCAAAAGAGAGAGAATAGCTCTCTGCTACCAAAAGAGGTCTGAGAAAAACGGGTTGCTAATCTGTGGTGAAATGCAGGGATTTTTATAGAAGAACTAATGGGGAGACCGTGTATGATTTACAAAGGACATTAAAAATCTGTTAGGACTAGGTGTGCCATCTGCATAGGGCATGAATCTTTGGCAGCCCCCACACCAATTCTTTTATTATGCATGTGCTTTCTCTACCTGAGCTTCTCCATGTTGCCCATTTCTTACTGTACACATGCTAACAAAAAAGGGAAGGCTGAGCCCCATGGTAGATATGTGTGGCTCCCAGGTAGCCTTTTCCTGTTGAGATAGCTGCCAGCATCCCCCCATGCAAGCTTCCAGCTTCCTTATTTATGTTTGCAGCTTGATCTTTTACACTGCTCTTTGTTAGATATGATTTCTTGGGCTGATTTTTGTAAGAAGGGGAGTTCTGCTGAAGACCCTTTTGTCCTCACTCTCTGTCTAAATAATGTCTCCTATATCAGTTTCAGTGCCAAAAAAAGTTTCATCCTATAAAAACATTGCTAGCAATTGTGATACCTGATGCACATGCATGCTATTAATTTTTTCTCTTTTCCCTTCAAGCTGAAGTTTGAAGTAATTTTTTTCTACTAGTTTGGTAGACATGGAATTCTTATAATACCTTTGTAAAATATTTCTGGTTATAACTGAGCAATGGCATTAAAAGCAATGGCAAATGAGGCCTTTGTTTGGTGCACTTATCATGTTATAACTCTACACAGATTATATACTCAATAAATTTCTGTGATACCTTGACAATCATTTTGATTGATTGAATTGTGTCCATCAATAAAGGTATATCCAAGTCCTAACCCCTAGTGTCTGAGAATCTGACATTATTTGGAAAAAGAATCTTTGAAGATGTAACTAAGGTAAGAATCTCAAAAGTAACCTGAATTTAGGATGGATTCTAAACTTATAAGGACAA